CCAGTATACCACACAATCCTACAGGACAAGCAGTGGTTGCGAGATCTAACAGGACACTAAAGGAGATGCTCAACAAACAAGCTTAGAAGACTAAACCCCCCAAACATAGATTGCGTAATGCTTTATTAACACTAAACTTTCTTAATGCCAATGAAAAAGGACAAACAGCTGCAGAAAGACACTAGACTACAGAAAAAACTGCTGAACTCAATCAGCCAGTATACTTCAAAGATGTACTAACCTCTGTATGGAAACCAGGACATGTATTACATTGGGGTAGGGGTTTTGCTTTGGTTTCCACAGGAGAAGAAAAACTTTGGATACCATCAAAGTTGATCAAGATTTGAGTTGAAAAGGAAAAACCTCTTGACTAGGAGAAATGACAGGTATTCTACTAAGGTATGTCTTGAATAAACTAAATAGAAACCTCCCAAAGGAAAGGGAAGTGTTTTGCTTTTATTTTCACAGGAAAAGTCATCTCCAGAAGGCAAAGGACGCTGTGTGGGTAGATACTTAAGAAGAAAAGGCAGCTATAACCATCAAACAAAAGGAACGTGCCATACGGTAAACTTTATAGCTGTCTCTCAGAGAACTCTATTTCTCTTTATTCCCTAGTCCCTATTCAATTCAATGCTGGATTTAGAGGTGGATTTGGTTTTCCTCCTCTAAAATCCAAGCACGTTGTTTAAACTTTAGAATTTCTGTATTGTATCAAGAGGCCAATTGATGTAATACAGAATAAAAGAAGAATTTGGGGACTGTCTTTGTCTTTTCTTGGATCTTTGTTTCAAGGTGTATACCCTCTCATAATCGTTATTCTCCCATGGTTGCCTTTCCCAGTATGTGTACATCACAAGCAAACATTTCTCTGATAACTGTTTATGTTTGAGTCCTACACAGCCAATGAAGACCTGCCTGACAGCAATCCCTGGACACCCCGGAAAGAAAATGGGCCACACCTCCTCGACTGACTGGATCCAACTTGCTCCATTTCAACTCCCGCCAGAGCTTTGGGTACTGACTTCAATCAAGTTGAGGATTTCAATCGAGATTTTCAATCAAGTAAAACCCATCTAACATGGACTGGATACAATTCATTCAAGACTTTTACAATACTAAGATTTTCTTCCTACAGGACCCCACAAGGATGTCATCGTCCCATTTCAGCAGGAAGTAACTTGGAGGATGCTATGCTCCTCTTTCCCCCATTGTTGTCACTTAGGATAGTGTATATACCTAGTTAGGAATAGCTTCCTATTGTTTAAGGTTGGGATTGGAAGGAGGTCTTCAGACTTGGACACCTCTTTCAGATGACTTTAGGGTTTAGTTAAAATAGATAGTTAGGATGTGACATAAACAGATTGTTGAATCTTCTTATATTTCACCTGTATGATTGTTAATTTTGGATACTTTACGCTGTTAAGTTTTAATCCTCTTTTAGACTAAAAGGGGAATTGTAGGAGAACCTGTAGCCATGCCTGCTTAGGGGCTGGCTAAAGGTCTGTCCTACCACACCTTCGAGGGAGTGGTCACGGTGATGTAGAGTGAGAGGTTCAGATGGCTGGGTTTTGCTTTCAGTTTCACTTTTTTGGCTTGCTGTACAGACTGCTGCTGAGCTGGCTGGCTAGGTCGCTCTGTAAGTAAGGCTTTTCCCTATTAAATACCCTTGTATTTCTACCTGACTCTGTATTGGTAATTTCCCACTTTAGAGGCTCGGGCACCGGCTGAGGCTAGGGCACCTCCCGCAGGATAGAGGGCAGGGTGTAGACAGGGGTGAGGTATGTCCGGACTCAGGGTGGGCCTTCTGGTCTGGGCTGGTCCACTCTTGTCAGGGGGGTGTTTCAGGTAGAAGTGAGCAGAGGTTGATGGGGAAGGTTGGGGAACAGAGCAGCGCCCAGACTCACCTGGGGCTTGGGCACTTGCTGAGGCTAGCACACCTGCTGCAGGACAGAGCTGTTCTATGATTTTTTTGAATATGTTTACTGGGTCTTTGAGTTGGATTTCTTCACCTTCTCTATACCTATTATTCTTAGGTTTGGCCTTTTAATGGTATCCCATATTCCCTGGATATTTTGTGTTAGGTATTTGTTGAACTTAAGATTTTCTTTGGTTGATGAATCTATTTCCGCAAGTGTGTCTTCAACTCCTGAGATTCTCTCTTCCATCTCTTGGATTCTGTTGGATATGCTTACATCTGTAGTTCCTGATCGTTTCACCAGCTTTTCTATTTCCAGCATTCTCTCAGCTTGTGCTTTCTTTATTGTCTCTATTTCAGTTTTTAGGTCTTGAACTGATTCCTTGAGAGATTTGTGGATATCTTGTATTTTTTGGGTTGTTTTTTCTTCCATTTCTTTAAGGGAGTTTCTCATGTCCTCTTTGAGGTCCTCTATCATTTTCCTTAAGATTTTTTAAAGTCATTGTCTTCTGGTTCATCTGCATTGTGATGTTCAGGTCTTGCCGGTGTATGGTTCCTAGTCTCTGGTGGTGTCATATTGGGTTTTCTGTTGTTGAATGTGCTTTTATTTTGTCCTCTTCTCATCCTTTCATCTGGTGGGTGTAGCAGGAGTTTCTTTCCTGGTGGGTGTGGGGCCAAGGTTCTCTTCTGGTAGATGCAAACAGATCCAATACTCTGATGTCTGTCCTCTTCATGTGGATGGAGGTGGCACTGTTACTGGGGCCTCAGCAGTGTTCGGGTGTGTTGGGTCCAGTTGGGCTGGTGGATGGAGACAGAACTGCCACCAGGGCCTTGGTGTGTCGGATCCCGCCACCGAATTCGGATCCAGCGCGCAGATAGCTGGTGTCAGATGACTCTCGAAAATACATTCTTTTTTACACAATATGTCCTGATTATAGTTTCCTCTCCCTCTTCTCCTCCCAGTTCCTCCTCCCCTCCCCTCCCCTTTGGATCTACTCCACTTCTGTCTCTCATTAGAAAATAATATACTTCTAAGAGATTAAAAACCAAACATGGACAAAATAAAATATAATAACATGAAGCAAAGGCTTTCATATCAAACTTGGACACAGCAACCCAACAGGAGGAAAAAAGTCCCAAGAGTCAGGGACCCACTTGTTTTCATAGTTAGGAGTAAAAAGTACTAAGTTAATAGCTATAATAATATATCTGCAGAGGACCTGGTGTAGACTCATGTAAGCCCTGTGCTTGTGGCTTCACTATTTGTGAACTCATATGCACCTTGCATGGATGATTCAGAGTGCTTTGTTGTCCTGGTGTCCTCAATTCCCTTCAATTATTACAATCTTTGCCTCTCCTCTTCCACAAGATTTCCTGAGCTCTGATGGGAGAGATTTGATGAAGATCATCAATAATGTAGAATCTTACTCTGCATAACAATGTCTGGCTGTGGGTTTTTGCATCTGTTTTGATTTTCTGCAAAAGGAAGCCTCTCTGATGAATGGATAATCCATTAATCTATGGCTATAGTAGAATATTATTAAAAATAATTTTATCATTTTTTTCAGACCAGTCAAGTTTGCTTTTACTCTAGGTCTCTGGGCTATCTAGTCTCTGGTTCTTAGCCAAGCAGTGTCGGATTTGGGATTCTTCTCATTGAGTGGGCTTTAAGTTAAATCAGATATTTGTTGGCTACTCCCACAAGTTCTGTGCCACCCTTGTTCTATCATATTTTGCAAGCAGGGCAGACTGTAGGTAAAAAGTTTGGTGGCTAGGTTGATGTTCACACTTCTCTTTTGGTAGGATATGGATTTCCTTACAACACCAAAGCGACTAGAACACAAGGATGAAGGTTCCACATAAACAACTGCTCAATTTCTCCATACTCAGTGAGTTCCGTAAACATTGTCTTCAGCAATAGGGACTCACTGTCAGTTTGTAAAGAGCAATGCTCCATTCCTGGTGAGAATGAAAACTTGTATAGACACATGGAAATCAATACAGAAGTTCCTCAGAAAGTCAGAAATTGATCTACCTCAAGACCCAGCATTACCACTCTTGGACATGTATCCGAAGGGCACTCCATGATATCACAAGGGCACCTGATCAACTGTGTGTGTGTGTGTGTGTGTGTGTGTGTGTGTGTGTGTGTGTGTGTGTGTGTGTGTTTATGCCATTGGTATGCAGTGTGTCTCCAACTTAACCCAAACTCATTGATTTGGCTATGCTGACTGGCCAATGTGCTGGAGATATTTGCCTATTTTGATCCTACCCCCAGTCCTAGGATAGTAGATGTGCAGTGGTGCTGGTGGTCTTTTGTGTGGTAGTGGGGATCCAAACTTCTGAACTCAAGTTCTCATGCTTATATGAAAGATACTTTACTAATTTAGCCATCTCCATGGCCTTTGACTGAGTATTAATTCCTATAAATGTCTCAGAACTTCATATCTCTGGATACAATAAATTACACTTAAATGAGAATAATAATAAAAAGTCAATGTGTATTTATCAAGAATATGAAAGATAAGAGATGTAATTGGAGCATAATTAAGATAGAGAATTTATAAATTACTCTGAACAGCTTAAAACACACCTTATAGATTTTCCCAAAAGCAAATATAGTATTTGATAGACAAATGATATGTTGCTGAGTATCAAGAGTTAATGAAACATTTTTGTCCTGTTGTTCTTGCTGACTTTTAAACTTTGTGTAGTTCTAATATGGGTAAAGTGGTAGACAGTAAACAGCAGACAATTTGTTAGTCTTCATGAAACCATTTAAAAGCTAAACCATGAAGATTTTATAGCAGTGATTAAAAATCTTGCTCATCCTCATGAGGGTGTTTTTAAAGAGTTGTCCACAAAAGTCCTTTCAGTAGGCAGCACCCTTTCTTTGTTTATTTAAAGATAACACAAACTCATGATGAATTAATACAAACTTAATTACATATTGTTGTGTTTATGTATGTTACCCTTAATAATATCAGGGAAGAGAGAGGAGAAAATAGTTGAGATATTCTACATTTAGGGTTTTCATTAGTTGAAGTTATAGACTGGATTTATGACTTTCCAAAATTCATACTTTAAAGTCCTAACTCTTAGTGTGATGATATTTGTAGGTTGAGGACTTGAGAGGTGAATAGGTTTATGTAGACATAGGGGAGAGATGGCATAATAGAAATAGTACCTGTTACAGAAACAGTACCAGAATGTTGCCCTCCTATGCAAAGTTGACTTACACCACAAGGGAGGTTGTGTAAGTGAGTTCACAATTAGGTTCACAATTAAGTCAGAAATGAAACCCTCATCAGAAGCAAAACTGTTGGAACTTTGATCCAAGACTTCCCAACCTTGAGACAGGGTGAAAATAAATTTCTTCTGCTTAATCCACCCAGTCTAAGCAGGTTGCCATGGTAGTTCAAGCAGACAACTGGTCCTTTGGTAGACAAAGCTGACTCAGAAAACAGATTTCTTCACAATCTTAGAGACTTGCCAAATTATAATGAATCAGCTGGATGAGTTCCAGAAATAAAATTGAACAAGCACATGTGATATAGACTTGAAAATATTTTTAATAAACAGAAAAATTAATCCTTAAGTACATTATTTACTGATCAGTGATTTAGATGACTTTGTTACATTTATCATAAACATTGTTCATGTGTTATGGATAAGAGATGTGGGGGCCAAAGAGATAAGCATACAAAGAGCTTAAAACTCTGTGGTCATTAGAATTCTATTTTAAAGGAATGGTAAGTGTGTGTGTATGTGTTGTAAATAAGCATAGGTCTGTAATCTATGGCTTATCTTTAAGATACATTTTGACAAGTTAATTGTAGAATAGCTATGTCATTGGATATTGCTTTTTGTATATATGTAAGTACGTGTGTGTACAAGAGGGCATGCAAATATGTATGCAATGTATGTATAGATGTGTGTACATGTGGAGGTCAGAGGAAAACATTGACTGCCTTTACTTAAGCTCTGTCTGTCTTGTTTTCTCTTTAGACAGGGTTTCTCAGTGACTTGTAATTTATCCAGTGACCAAGGCTTTCTGGCTTAAGAACCTCCAAGAATCACCCTGTCTCTACCTTCTCTTCCTTGAGATTACAAAGATACTGCTATGCCCAATTTGTTTTATTTTTTTATTTTTTTTAAAAAAAATTTAGTCTAGAAACAATCTTATTTTACACATCAATCCCGTTCCCTATCCCTCCCATCCTACAATACCCCCACTAACCCCCCCATCTCACTCCCCATTCAGTCCCCAGGGAAGATGAGTCCTTCCGTGGGGGAAAGCATCAAAGTCATGTCATTTTGGGGAGGGCCTAGGAACTCCCCCATATATCTAGTCTGAGAGAGTAGCCCTACATGATGATTTGGCTCCTAAAGTCCATTTGTGCACTAGGGATAAATACTGGTTCCACTGTCAGAGGTCCCATAGATTGCCCAGGCCTCCTAATTGACACCCACATTCAGAAGGCTTGGTTTGGTCCAATGCTGATTCCCCAGTTTTACAGCTGGTGTCCTTACGCTTCCACTTGGTCAGGTCAGTTGTTTCTGTGGGTTTCTCCAGGATGGTCTTGACCCCTTTGCTCATCCTTCCTCCCCATCTACAACTGGATTCCAGGAGTTTGGCTCAGTGCTTAGCTGTGAATGTCTGTTTCTGTTTCTATCAGATACTGGATGAAAGCTCTAGGATGGCATTTAAGGTAGTCATC